ATTACAGCGCAATTAAAAATTTACACACACTCACCAAGCCAGGTTTAAGTACTGTGGAGACTGAGCCACAAGCACCCCCCCACCTCAGCCACCCCAAGACTCTGCAAGTTGGGGTTGACAGCGCAACTCCGTTCAGCACTTGTGGGAAAGGAGGCAGAGGGGAGGGGGCGGAGGCGGAGGGCCGGATGGAGAGGGAAATGTCAAAGCTCACTTTGTGTCCAGGCGCTCGCTCCGCAACACAACTTCAGCTGGTATTCATCGTTCTTGCTTGTGATTATATCTTTGTCGCTGGTCCTCTACCTTGTTCCTTATTTCCGCCACACACACCCCACCAAACGCATGGAGGAGGGGACGAGAAAGGACAGCAGTTCCGAGAGGGGAAGAAATGGGCCTCTCCACACAGATCTGCACCCAGACTTGTTGGGAGGCCTGGAGCCTGCAGCATCTCGCCATCCCCTCCGGTAGTCTAAGTGACTTCCTAATTGTCGATCTGGCCTCTGACCCAAGAGGTAATGCAAGTGCCACTCACGCCAGAAGCTTCTGGTGGTAATTGAGGGCACCCTTTGTACGGTTTCGCCAGCGCCTAGCTACCAGGTTAACCCAGTTGTCAAATACGACTAAACAGTGGGACGTGCTGATTATCTGCCTGCTTTTGCTGGGGGGTGGTTTGGGGGTGGGAAGCATCAGCCATACAACACGCTGCACGAAGCCGCTTATTTTCACATTGTAACGACTTTGGAAACAGAGACCCGCGCGAGCGGCGTCCGCCCCCACCACCACCTCCGCTGAAGCTGCAGCTCACTGGGCTGTTTGTTTAACCCGGCGGCGATTTGCATGTCGCGTTCAGCCTGGAGTCGAGTTTTCTTGCTCTGTTTCCAACCCATCCCCACTCCAGACCCAGGAGGAGCTCAGGGAAGCTCCGCCAAGGCCTAGAGGTTGGTGTGGCGCGAGGGCGCGGTGTCAAGAGGCTCAGCCTTGACACCGGGTCCTCGCAGCCTTCATCGGCGACGCCGAGGACCAGGCCACACGTGGGCGCCTTCAAGTGGTGCAGCTGGAACCATCCGAGTCCTCCCCAGATCGGGGCGTGAAAAGAGCTTGTCCTCGCACACACAAGGGCGCGCGCTGCTGCTCTCCGCACGCGCGGAACTGTTGGCTTCCCTTCTCTCCGGGTCCCACTTTCTCTTTCTTCTCCAGGGTAGCCGGAGGCTGCGTTTGAACTCGAAACACCGATCCCTCGGGCAAACTGGGTACTGGTTTTCCTGTAGCACATTCCCCTCCAAACCCAAATCCTGCTCTTCAAAAACAAATGAACCACCAACCCCAAATGCTCGGGTGCAAAAAGACAAGTTGTCACGGAGGGGGAGCAAATGAGAAGGACATGGAACGATGTTCCCAGTGTTTTCTCTCCTCTTTTGTAAGATTTCTTGGTCCAAAAGTGCGACCAAACGTAGCTCTTCTCTCGGCCCAAAGATGGAGCCTGCGTGCACCCAGGCGCCCTTCGTGGGTGGGGAGGACCGTGTGGGTCGCTTTTCGTTAGAATATTGCTCAGACTGCTTTCTTCTTTTTCTTTTCTTTTTTTAATGTTTTAAGGTGGCACCAAGGAAAGCACCAAGGAAACCATGACAGAAAAGAGCGAGAAGAACCTGGCTGCTGTGAAAGAGGCGCTGCGCCCTGGAGGTCGCGGATGGAATAGGAGGGGGAGTGTGAGAAATCCCTGAGGGACGTGGGGTGGAGGGAAAAGGGGGAATAAGGCCGCCTGGAACAGCCAGAAAGCCCGGCAGGGGGACCCAGGAGTCGTTCCCAACAGGTGACTTCTGCCCTGGAAGGGGAGCCTGGCCCTCAGCTTCCTGTAGCGTCTCCGCGTCGATTTACTAATAGAGGGATTGTTAAGTGGCAGCGAGGCGTTTGTGACTCACCCCAAGTAGCCCGCGGAGGAGAAGCGCCGAGGTTTTCCCCATCCTCCTCCTCCCCCACCCACTGCACACCCTCTGCTAAAGGAAACCTGACAAAGTCATAAATAAGACGATCTGAAAAGCCACTTAGCACTGGTGACATTTTCAAGCCAACCATTTAAAACAGTTCTCGCAGGCACCTCCGGCTCCAGGCGCCCAGCTTGTCTCCCTCTCCTCCACACCGCCTCCTCCTCCTCCTCCTCCTCCTCCTCCTCCTTTCCTTCCCTCCCCTCCCCCTCCCACCGTTTTCCACGTAATTCCAGCTGTCAGACTCTCGACGTGGGCACTCAGATATTCCTTTAGGCACACGCATCCGCAGCATCACAATAAAAGTTAGGGAAATCTTCCAAACGAACGTAGACAAACACCCAGGCCAGTTTAACTCTGCGGTGGGGCCCCAAGGAAATCTTTCGGAGGAAGTCCAGTTTCTTCTCATCTGACAGATTTTTTTTCATCCTCTAAAAAATCTAGTTTTTAAACAAAGATCAATGTGTTATGCTAAAGTGTTGAGCTGACTGTTAAAACATTTGGGGAAATAATGACACTGTAACAAAGGCCTGGTTTGGAGTGAATCATCACCCTTTTAAAAGTTAAAGCAATTTTCAGGAGAATAGCTTTCAGCAAACGCTTTACATTATTCAAAACGGCCAAATAATGCTCTATTATAGCGCCTGAATGCTGCCAGTCAGCCCCTAAGTGCAATTTGTGCAAAGGCCCCGGTGCCTTATCTCCACTTCTTTATAAAGAGGTGAATATAAAACAATTTCTTCCAAACCCAGACAGAGAGCACGAAAATTGCTTCCCTTTCTGCAATCAGGGCAATTTAACTGGAGTGCAATTAGCACTATTAAATGTCGATTCTGCATAAACAAATCTGACTGAGCAGAGAAAGTGGGGTGAGAACCTCATATACACTGAAACTGATTTTTTAAAATTATGTATCCGGGTCCTTTACAATTGATCTGTGACGTTTTCATCTTGGAATATATTTACATTGTAAATACACTATGGTTAAATCAACATAATTTTTTGCAAAAAAATTCAATATGAACCCTAATAAAGAAGAATAGGGTAATTAAAGAGAAGAGTTCACTTCTTTTGAACAAATACTGTTTCTCCCATCTTGCCTCTTCCCGAGAGCTTTGATCTGAGCAACTGCTCAAGTTGATGAGTTTTAGGAGGCAGAGTTGGAAAAACAATTCTGTCATTAGTGCTGATCGGAAGGACTGGTTCTCCTATGCGGAAGATAAGATGCTTTTTTCCTGATTTACCAGGGATTGTGACCAGGAAGACCAATTATTTTCTGAACTCCTCGATACTGTAACTGGGTAAATATTAGGTGCCTGCCCAGGCTCCCGGGAGCTTTGGCCAGGTGCAGGATTTCACAGCAGATGGACGATACCTCAGTGGTGTAGGGTGGAGTCCGGGAGCCTCCAGGACTCGGGCAGGAGGGGGAGCATTGAGAGAGGAGGAGCAGAAGGTTGTGGCTTGGATGGGGCTGGCTGTGGTGGAAGCTGGATCACCAGAACCAGCATGCCAGGCAGGAGTGGGAGTAAGAGGTATAGGAGCCCGTAAAAAAGCATTTATCTGACCTGTCCTCCTACCTGCCTTTATTTATTTATTTGCTAAGCCACAGAGCTCCCTTTTTGAATCATTTGAGCAATTAATTATGCTTTTCATTTGCATGATCTACACTAGAGCAGTGATTATCAGGTCAGCACGATGTGGGAGTTGGGGAGATACATTAATAGCTTGAATTAAAAAGGGAAAAAAAAAGCTGCCCTTGGAGTCTCAGTGCCAGCCATGAGCAAGGGCGAAAGGAGCCCAAGACAGTCCATAGTGCCTGTTGAGTCTTGTGAATCCCTTCCACAGTTGGAGTTTGTCAGTGTGAGTGAAAATGAAATGCAGCCTTTGATTAGAAGAAATCTTTTATAGTTAACATATATTTGTATCTTAAAAAGCACCAGCATCGAGATCAAATGGATCAAGAAAATTAATTGAAAATTGAAGAACTCTCCTACAATTTCAGTTAAGCTTTCATTTAATATTTGTTCTATAATGCCCTCCCTCATTTCAACCCAACCCTTGCAAATAAAAGAGCCAGAAGAATCAATAGGCCAAGGGGACTTTCATCTTTTTTTTTTTTTTTTTTTTGTATTTTCCTACCTCAGAGGTATTACTGCTATTTAGAAGTTGTAGGAGATGCCTTCTTGCCTGTGTAAAGTCTGCTGGAGAAATCCAACACCTCTAGTCTATTAAGTACAGTCCAAACATTTGGTACACAACTAATTCTGTATTGCTAGATGTAGCTTGTCTGGGCCATATATTTTAAGCTTGCCTTGATCTGCTTATCTGAACCAAAAATGCATTAACAATTAAAGGGAAGACTGGTGTGTCAAAGGAAGGAAGGTGACTGTAGACTGTGTGATGATTTTAATGACTGCAATTATTGGAAGATTATTCAACAAGCATCATAGATTTGTTTACTGCATTACTAGGAAACTATGGGGGGCCTATTGGGCTTGGGGTTGTACCTTCCTCTCTCCTTCATCAACCACCAAGGAGGGATCTTAGACCTAAGCAAATGTGGCATTCAGTGCTGGCTTTCTTCTTTTAAAGAGCATCTCTACCAAAGTGATGCACATTTTGTTATCTCAGCCAACTCTAATGGAACCATTCTTGGAGACATTAAAGGACCTTTTCACATAAATCCTGAGCTAATGCCAAGAAAAGCCAAAGGCCAGTTGATTCCATTCTGGTCACTGGACATCTACTCCAGTCAGGGTATCAATTTCTTCAGTTTTACCACCTCCTAGGCAGCTTTTGAGGAGGCTCCTAACTTCCAACTTTTTCCTCCTCCCTCCAGGGGTTGGAGAAGGCACCACACTGCGAGGAGGTAACAAGCATTGTTCCTCCAGGACTCTCCCCAAGAAAGTTTGGCCCTTCCTTCCTTCCTTCCTTTCCTTCCTTCCTTCCTTCCCTTCAACACATCCTTCCCTCCATATTATTTCTTCTTGACACTGTTAGAAATCAGTAAAGATTACGGGCATACTAGTTTGTAACTAGGGAAGTTTTTTTTTTTTTTTTTTTTTTTTAAATACAAATGTGAGATAGAACTACGGAACACTCCTTGTCTGGTATTAATTAAATGACCCTCAGTCCACAATAATCAATAAATTGCAGCTTGGGCTAATTCATTGGTCATCAATGAATTACTGGTTTGGAAGTGATATATGAAAAAAGGAGGGGATAGTAAATACCACATTAGAATCCTTTCCTCCCTCTTCCACCCCAGGAGATGAGACAGGAGGGACTGGGCCATCCTGGGGGTTGCTCTGGGTTCCATAATGGCCCAGTTTCAAGCTCAAGGTGGACTTGGTCAACTCTCCGAACCGGCCCTCTTCAAACGTGAGCCTGCAGGCTTCTGCAAGTGGCAATTAGGAACCTATTACAAGCCATTAGATTGATCAATGTACCTTAAACAATGCGAATGATTTATAGGGCTGACTTATGTGGGGAAGAAAGAAAGAGGTGGGGGAGGACTGCTCCTTATCCTTTACATCCGTGGCGCCGTGGTGAAGAGCAGCATCCAGCCCCTGTCCACAGCTCAAAGCCGCCGGAGTGATTTATTTGGAAAAGTTTTCAAGCAAAGACACAGGTTCCCCGGCTCGTCCGGAGGGTGGCGAGATGCATGTTCTTTACCTCTCTTTCTTCGCTCTGAGGAAACCGGAGGACGACCCAGGCCTAAGCAGAGTTGCCGAGGGTCACGCAGACGCCACTCCCCTCGCGGAGGACCTCGCCAGCAGAGGTCCCAGCTGCCTCCCTGTCCGACTCTGTCCCCGGAGGCCGGGACGTGCTTTACACATTTGTTTAGCGGAGTGCTGGAGAGCTGTGTGGCCTCCTCATTACCGCTGGAACACACAACCATTAGCCCTTGAAGTTTCTGGCGAGACTTGGGGAGGAGCAGCGCCCAGGCTCCGAGAGCTAGATGACGCGGGGTGGGGAGGGAGGGGACTCCGCAGAACGGAACTCTTCGCCGCCGGGGCCTGCTCCTCCGGCTAATCTGTGTGGCGAAGACAAAATTACCGCAGAGCCGAGCGATCAAAGCTGGCCCCCGCCCTCGCGCCCCGCCCTCCTGCCCGGCCCAGAGTCTCTTTGCAGCAGACTCTCGTGGGTCTTCTCACCACGAGGAAACCCCTGCCAGCTCTTCCAGAGCCTGCAAGGAAAGGACGGGCGCGCTTTCCCCGTCCCGGAGGAGGATTCCCTTTGTCTCACCCCTCCTCGGCGCCTCCAGCTCTGAAACAGAGGAGGGGGCGATTATGCACCCCCCCAACTCTGCTTCTCTTCCTCCACCCTCCTCTCCCCGGATCTCCCCGCCTCGCTCCTCGGGTCCCCCAGATCCTCTTATTGCCCCACTTTCTCCTGGCTCCTGCTCCTAGAGCCTGGTCAGGCACTGTTGATTTCCTGGCCTTGTTTGGCGGGAAAGAGCTTCGTCCTGGCTTGTTCTTGGGCGTCTGGGACAAATCCTTTTGTTTGTGTCTAAATGTGGCGAAGGAAGCATTCCGGGCTGGTGACAGGGGCAGAAGGAAGAGGGAAAGACTAGAGGAACGATACGTGGCTTTGCAGTCTGTATGAAATGGGAGCCCCGGATTTGGAGACCCTTCCAGGTGGACCATGATTTCTCTCAAACACAACTGCTCTCATCTGTCCTTTATTACCTAGGTCCCACTTTACTGAGCTCTCTCTGCGGTTGATTCCTTTCAATCCCTTCCTGCCTGGGATCTCTCCTCCGGCCCTACAGTGCAGTGAGAGATGAGAAAGGTGGCTTATAAGATTCCTCTCAAGGACCCAAACATCCTGTGACATCCCCAGAGAGAGGCCTGCCCTGGGTCATGTCCATGTTTTCCTGATTTCAGCCGCTCTAGAGCCCAACCCTAGCAGGCTGGCCACACTGACCAGTGTCACATTCATGCTCTTTTGCAATCCAACTAGACTCCTACAGCCTGACTCACTTGCTGGAAAGCTGAATGGAGGGCATAGGTGGGGTTGAGCGGGGCTCCACACGCTTTAGGCACGTGCGCCTCCTCCTAGCTCCCTGCCCGGCTCCCACAAGTAAAAGGCACACTGATCACACACACACTCACCAGGTACAGCCAGCAGCGTCCGTGCTCCTTCCCAGCCAGGGATCCGCAAGCGAGGCTGCCTTGAGGCAGGTGACATCGCTGCGGGGAGGCGGGCTCAGAGCTCCAGATGCCTCCCTGGGAGCGGGGGTGGGGGGTGCTCCGCTCCCTCAAAACCAGCTGCGAGCCTCCCGGGCCGGGTGGCTGGGGGCCGGGACGCGGCTGGGCCTCCCCTGGTCCCTGCCCCGCCTCCGCGCCGCTTCCCGCTGTCCCCCGCGCTCCGGTGGCCGCGGCCGCAGTCCCCGAGCGCCCCTGCTCGAGCCGCCTGCCGCTCTCCCGCACGCCTTCCAGAGGCTCTGCTACATCTGGGATGCGTTGCCCCTTAATCGTCAGCCCCATTCTTGTGATCAAGTGAACACTGCTAATCTCTACATGAATTGTTTAGGTAAATAGAGCCTACGTTTAATCAATATGCAGGGCCTCAGCCTGCGCAGCGCCAAGTAACTTAAGTCAACGGTGAAGATTTTAGTGTGTGCGTAATTACAGAGCACGCGGAATCTTCGCTCCAGCCTAATTCCACATCTTTTCTCCGACCCAGGGAGCGGGAGGAAGGAACGGGAAGGAATCTCCACCCTCTGAGGGGTCGGGGCTGGCAACTTCGGGGCAGGAAAAGAGCCTCTTGGCCACATGCCGCGCTCCCGGCCCGCGCCCTCCCGAAGCGAGCCGCGGGTCCTGGGCCCCGCGACCCGACTGGGGACAGCTGCGGACCTCGGAGCCGCACGATTCAGAGCTCGGCAACCCCTCCCCGTGGCTTCCGGACCCCTCCCCCCAAATTTGTCGCAGCGAGGAGGGGGTTCTCCACTCTGCGGGTCCCCGCCCGGCCGGAAGGCTGGAGGCGGGCCCCGGAGGCGGGGTGCCCCGTGCTCGCGACGCCCCGGCCCCCCGCTTGGCTCACGCTTCCTCCCAGCCGGTGCCGAGGCGCGGCTCCTCGCTTTGGAGTGGGGGCGGGGACCTCGGAGATTGCCATGCTTGGGCGCGCAGAGACCGGGTTATTTGCGCTTCCTCTTAAATAGCTATTGTTTCCTAATTAAGAAGACCTTCGCCCAGCACGTGAGGAGGGATCAGGGGTTCGCAGCAGGGGGTGGGCGGTGCGCTTCAGCTAGGTAGGGTCGGAGTGGGCTCCTTACTGAGGCTTGGCTCGGGGATTGGCCTCGGAGTGAGGCTCTCTGGGCCTCGGTGGCGAAAGGGTTAGCTGCGAATCTAACAGCAGACAGCGGAGATAATCGGAACCCCCTGACGCCCTGGAGTGGAACCTAAGAGGCCGACCCTCAAGTTTAGGGCATTAACACTTTAGGCAACCCGGTCGCAGAAACTTCGGTTTCTCCTAGTGGCCCTCAGTGCACTGCCCTGCCAGGAACTTTCGATGCAAACAACCAGTAACTCTGGTTGTAACCAGACACCCGCCTTGCCTGTTACTGTCCCGCTCTAGATCAGCCGGAGCCTAAAGTTAACTCATCATTTGCAAGTTTAGGGGGTCAGCACCACCACTAAACTGAACTACAGCTGGAACTTGAATGTAGTGTCCTCGGTCTTGGATGGTAGCTAGCTAGCTGTTTCTAATTTTTGGAATTGAACGGCTCTTGTATACGGTATCTCTCCTTGCTTTCTTCTTCCTTTAAAAGTTGACTAGCGTTTGGAAGAAGAGGGAAATTAAACACAAATGTCAGTGCAATCCCCAAAGCCTCTTCTTATTATTCTTTCTGAGCCTCCTCTCTCCCGGGCCCAAGCCTGTGACGGTCTTAATCAGATATGCAGATCTTTTACAGGTTTGCTACACCACGGGGACTGGCTCTCAGTCCCAGGCCAGATGACTTTCCAGTGGGAATGCGTCTTTTTTTTTTTTTTTTTTTTTTTTGAGACAGGGTCTCCCTATGCAGTTCAGGCTGACTTTGAGCTCACGTTGTAGCCCAGGCTGGCCTCGAACTCGCAAGGATCCTCCTGCCTCAGCCTCCGGAATGCTGGGATTACAGGCCTGCGCCACCATGCCCTGCTCTCCAGTGGGAATGTGGACCCAAACTTTCTGGGTTGTAGTTGTTTCTCGGCTAGGACAAGGAGCTAATAAGCAGGGTTCTGGGGAGCTCAGGCACTGGGTGTGAGGAAGGACCACCACTTACTGCTATGATTTTGGGCAGGCCTCAAAACTTCTCAGCGTCCTCCTCTCTAAAATGAAGCTGGTAATTTTAACTTTGAAGCGTTGTTATGGAAGTTAGATAAAACCATATAGAGAATTCCCAGCAGTGTGCTCAATACTTCTTAACAGTTGAGCTAAAAGAGTTCTTGTCTTCCTTTCTCAACTGAAGTAAGTATTCCTACCCAACACACTGTGAAACAAAGTCGACATCCCTGTAGGGGAGAATGGGGGCCCTAGCACAGAATCGGGCTGGGTCAGGTGAGAGCAATGACAGTCCGTGGCTGCCTGATTTGCAAGGAGTAGGGTTAGTTGGCTGGTCTGGCTTCCATACTTCTGCAGGTGGCAAAGAGGAGGCCTTAGCCAAGAGTGGTGAGGCCTGCCTGTAATCCTAGCGGACACAGAAAACTAAGAGTTCAAGACCAGCCTGGGAAGTTTAGTGATGCTCTGTCTTAAAAATAAGGAGTGGGGACTCAACCCACTATACAGTGCTTGCCTATCATACCAAAGGCCCTAGGATCAATTCCCAGTAAAAAAAAAAAGAGGTTTTGTCTGTAATAGGAATAGTTAACATTTATTGAGCAATTATTATATTCTGGGCTTTCTGCCAAGTGCTTTACACAGAGCATTTCATTTACTCCACACAATAATCTTAGTGGGTATCACTGATTTCTCTCTTTTTAAGCTTTTACTATAGAAGATGGTAGAATACTTTAAGAAAACCCTCCCTCTAGGTCCATCACCCAGCCTCAGCAGTTATTACCTCTTGGCCAAACTTGTTTCCTCTCTAGCCCAGCCGTTTCCTCTTGCCTCATTGTGAAACAGCTCTTAGACACCATATTTTATTTGTATAGATTCTAGTATATATCTAATCTCAAAAGGTAACTACAAAGAAAATTCACACTACCGTGTTATAATGAAACTTAAACATATTCGAAGTAATTCCTTAATAGTATCAAATATACAATCTATATTCAAGTCTCTCCGAGGATCTTATAAGCAACAGTTTAACATATATATATATATATATATATATATATATAATGGGATTGCAGCCAGAACCTTCTCACTGATCTACATTCCCAACCCCTTTCATTTTTTTGCTTTGAGACAGTTTCTCATCCATTCACTAAATTACCCAGGTTGGGCTTGAATTTTCAATTCTCCTGCCTCAGCCTCCAGCATGCTGAGATTATAGGTGTGTGCCATTATGGCAAACTGACTTTTTTTTTTTAATCTAAATATCCATATGGCATTTAGTTGATTACCTTTTATCTATTTAGTTCTATCTGCCTCTTTTTCTTTCCTTGTCATTCATTTGTTGAAGTAAGTCAGTTATTTGTTCTGATAACCTTTTTAAAAATAAAGACTTTGAGACCCAGGGTGGTTAAAGGAACTTAGGAAGGGATAGAAAAGGAATTCAGTGCTAGCCATATCCAACTCCTGAGCCGAAGTACTCACCAGTTTTATCATAGAGTTCCTTTAAATCAAGTGATGAAAAGTAAGACACAGAATAACACAATCACCATAAGAGATTTCAGAACATGCGTGGTTGTCCTAAGTAACCAAGTAACCAATTCCTTACCAAGTACCCACAGAAAACCATTCACTTAAAACCCAGGCACAGTTTGAAATTTGGCAACAGCAATTGAAGACAGGATAATTCAGTGCCCTCCTTATGTTTTGAATCTGACTAAATAATTCCTGCATGCAAATGTATCTGTAGCATGAAGAGGTTTTTATTTCCAACAAATATTTAGCAAAGCCAAAGACATTTCTTAAATTGATCTGCTTCCTTTTTCTCTCACCTTCATTTTCATCCTGTTCTCCACTTTCTTCTGTTCTCTATGGCTGGATAAGGAGACAACATCTTTTTTTTTAAGTAGTTATTAACAATTTGGTAGTTTGATATGTGATATCTGGCTTTTGTTATGGTAGTTTTGAAAGCATAGTTACCCTAGCAACTGAATACATTTTTTTTCTTTTAAAAATTTTTTTTAGCTGTCTGGAGGAGAAAAAAAGAAAAAGAAAACTTCTTGCCAGAATTTTCCCATAATAGCTTCCATTAACTGCAGTGACTTCTATTGGAGAGGCCAGCACTGCTGTCTCCTGCTGTCACCAGTCATTCACTGATCTAACAGATGTTTTGTTTGATAAGGCCAATTTGAGCTTTATAAAACATTTATTTTTTTCACCTCCAAGGAGCAAATACCAGTAAGGATGGGATTCAGCGTTGATCACTGGGTACCATACAAGGGCCTCAACCCGTCAGTGGAGCTTCTAGGTGAGAAGGAAACTAAAACAAATCTAAAGGCTTCATTTATTAAAAGAAAGGGGACAAAGAGAAAAAAGAGGGGGGATGGTTAAAGGACATTAGATCAGTCCCTAGGGACTTAGCAAGAGGGAAAAAGGGAGTAGAAGAGCCCATAGTCTATTATGGAATCCTTTTGGAAATACCTGGTGCCCTTCCCACAGAGGGCAGGGGTGCAACTTAGTGACAAAACAGAATAACAGAGGTGATGCGTATTGCACTGAGTTTGATAGATTGATAAACTGTCCATTGGCCTTCCAGGAAGGTAAGGTACAAAAGAGTTACCAAGGAAAGAAGGTGGACCTTAGGATTCCTTGGAGCAGCTGGACTGAGTGTCAACAAAAATATTCACTTGTGTTTGAACCAAATCTCTCTCCCAGACAGATAACTAGCTTTAGATTTCTCTTAAAAACAAAAACCAAATCAAATCAACCCCAAACCCATACTAACTGTTTTTATAAATGTAAAATTCTTTAAGTCCCCTTTCTTGCTAGGTTTTTTTTTTCCCCCGGTACTGGGGATTGAACTCACGACCTTGCACTTGCCAGGCAGGCACTGTGCCGCTGAGCTAAATCCCCAGCCCCTAGAAGGAAGGTTTTTCAAGACCTGGAAGAACTATGGGGTGGGTAAAACAAAGGTGGCCCCAAAAAAGTGCAGACTGGTTCTGTTCTTATTAATAAGATGCCTCCTTTTATGGTCTCCTAGGGATTGTTTGGTCATTGTGCAGAAGGTGGACAAAAAAATTCTGGAAGAAGAACTCATCCCTTGTAATTTGATCCCTCTACAAAGTTTGAAAGAATGAAGGTTCCCATTCTTGGCATTTTATTTTAGATTGCCCTCCGCAACTGTAGTATTTTGACTTGAAGAATTACATTTCAGATTGAGAACTGAAAGAGGAAA